GGGGGGGGGGGGGGGGTTCCAGGTGTAGCAGAGCGAGGGGGAGAAAGCCACAGTGACAGGTATGAAGTGGGCATGTCCTACAACTCACCAGTCCCTGTTCTATTCGCCTCTTTTAAACTTTTTCACATGCACTCCAATCCGTGCGTGCAGACGGCACACACATACAGACACACGGGAAAGTGTACAACCTTAGAAAAGGTCACACTCCAAAAGCTACATAAAAAACCAAGCTGAAGCTAAAAAAAAAACTAACAAACGCTAGCATCCTAATCTGGCTTTGAGAGGCTGTGAGGAGAGTCTGATGAGGTTTAGTGAGGAAATGACTTCCAAAAGCTGAACTCCATGTAGTACCACCTCTGACATTTGTCTGGCTGTAGCTGACAGCAGGATGAGCACCGCTCTAAATGTTAAGCACCTCCAGCTGGGCTTCCATGTTAAGGGCTATTGTTGACTTGTACCAAGGGAGGTTTTGGACAGTTATGAAAAAAGATAAATGACCTGCATCTAAACTTTGTCAGGCTCAAACTAATTCAAGCTGCAATCTAAAATGTAAAGCAAAAAACTGTTTTCTGACTTCTCTCTTAAAACCTAAAACATTTCTTTAAATTCCGGCGTAATTCTTAATCACGTACCGTAAACAGGTGCTTCGTTAACTTAATTCTCATATACATCATCGACAACAATCTGTTCAAATTCTTTAAGGCACTTCAGACAAAGAACATGTGTTTAAGCTGTCAGTTAAAGTTTAAACAAAGGATGACAACAGGTGCACTGAGTGGAGTTTAGATTGGATAAAGTTGCTTCATATGACTTGGAGCCAGGAGGCACTTCTGTGTAAAAGTTTGTGAAACCATAAACAAGCAGACTGTTAACCTGGGTTATGAGCATGTTTAGCAACTTTGGAGGAAAAAAAAAAAATCACATTAAAAAGGAAAATTGTTCAATTCCTTTGCGCCCACCCCCTTGTCATAAGATATGGATGTCCCGTAAGGTTATTTGTGTTTGCTGGGAAATGAAGTGCTCAACTGGATTAAAAACATACTGCATATGTTTGGAAATCTGTTTCCCTGGGCGTATGAGTGGAGTGAGCGAGCGTGAAGCAGCAGCTTGCGTCTCCTCCAAGAGAGAGGGCAGACACTCTCATCATTAGCTGGGCTACAATGTGCTCCTCTACCTGCTCCAATCTGCACAGCCAGGCTCCACTCTGACGCCAGACAGATGTTCCCAGCACGAGGTGCAAAGTACTGAGAGGGGAAACGAGAGTAAGCAGGAGAGAGGCAGAAGAATGGAAATATTCAGCAGAGTACACAATAAGAGTTTAATTATGAATAATACCAATGGTTCTTTGTTCTCACAATGAAGCTAGCTATGGTTTGTCTGGCCTTTGGGAAATTGTTTTTGGCTTCCATATGGGGGCAGCTGTCTGTCAAAAATAAACGCTTAAAATCATAACATGCCACAGAAGGGATAATTACAGGCTAAAGAACAATGCAATTATGTATGTTTATTTGCAATATTGGATAGGTATTTTGCTAAAACAAACTCTAAGGCTATTGTAGAGGTTAAAAATGTAATTTCAACACTCAGTACTATCATTTTCTGCTCCACTAATGATTAGTGACTGAGACTGAGAGTTTTTGCAAAACTTGACATCAACTGTAACTTAACAACTCAAAGACATACTTTAGTCACTCAGCGTGTATGAAGAAATATTTCTGTGACAAGATAAGGACAAATGTTTAAGGATAAGCTGGGTGTTACTTTCTCCAAACTAATTATTCCTACCAGCCAGTATTATCTTTGTAACCACAACATTATATAGCTTCTCCATCATCACATAGACTACTGTTGTTCCCAAAAATGTTAAATGTTTCCTTATAAACAGATCTGCACAAACCTGCTTGTGGGAAAAAATAGGTTTCGGGTTTTGGCCTGTTGAGGTGAATGGTTGATAATAACAAAGAGACAAAATAACACCAGTGTTCTCCTCTTTTGAATGAAGTGCAGTAAGAAGTTACACGCCTAATAGTTTGCAGTTAAAGGACATCTTGAGGTGTGGAGCAGACGATCTCTGCAGGCCGCAGAATTCACAAACACAAAGCCAGCTGGTCTGATACAGTCACAATACTTCACTGTTTGTATTTGCCTGACCAGCAGCAGAACACAGGCTCTGTCCGCCTTTGGGAGCTGCTACAACAGAGATGGATGTTAAAGCATTCATGTCCCTTGTGCGCCATAATAATGAGCAAAGCACGCAGTGTGCTGAACTGTCCAACTGGCCTTCAATTAGCCAGGGAGAGGAAGTTAACAAACATATGATAGCTTCCAATCCAAAGACCTTATTGAAGGGAATCTCGAAAGAAGAACCATACTGACTGAATAGGACACAGCCCGAACAGATCATGACGGGTCACAAATCTCTTGTTGTTGTTTATAAAAATGTGCTATCTAATTCAATCAAACAGCAACAAATCTGACAGCCTTAATGCTTTTTCTTCTTGTGGATACATACAACACATATTGAGTATTTGCACAATAGATTTTTATATAAGCATTCTACAGAAAAATCTAATTTGAAGCAAAGAAAATCCAATAATTATCCTTATGTTAACTTTTCTGCACAACATTAGTACACAAAAAGTTAAGTATTGCAGACAACTAACACCTTTCATGGAGACAAACCCTCAGCAGAGAAACTTCATACATTATAAAAAGTACGAAAAAATCCATAAAAACCTAAGGCTATATATACTGTTTAAATGGGATTTTACAGTGTTAATGAACACCTTGGCTTTTCTCAGAGCAGGAAAGAGCTTTAACTGTAGCACTGTTTTGCAAGTTCATATTGCATCATGTTGACTCACAAACCGCCAAAACTATAATGAGAGAATAAGTATTAACAAGTAAAAGTAACACCCAGTGCTGTATTTATATAAGCTGCCTCTATTCACATACTAATGATTTGCTTGTTACAGTAATTATCGCTGCGAGACCATACCGGAACATCTGCATTGATTTAGACTCTGGGAGAGCAGAGAGAGGGAGGGAGAGGCTCACAATCTGGAATTCGACTTCGAGAGCTAGACAACAATCTGTTGATGGTTATTTTGGTAATTGTCCATAATTGATGTAAAACACAGAGTGTGTTGCAGAAGATTCTAAATTACGGTTTCTGTAGCTCTGGGGGTCATTGAAAATGGGCAGTTGCGATGAAAATGCACATACAGCATCTAATAATGTGAGTGCTAAAAGAAACTGGACAGCTGGTGGGAGAAGGAGGGACACGCAGCCACACAGTTTACACTTAACTGCTGGAGTAAATTGTTCTTGGCAGTCAAAAGTAATGATGCGATAAATGATACAGCCAGTTAAATAAAAGATTTGACACCTGACATAAACATTAAAATATGATTGTCTTACACAGCTAGCTGGGCGGTTTTTGTGCATATTTATATATGTGTGTTGGTGTTTACATGGAACAAAATTAAACATTTAAGTTAGTTATATTATTTATCATACCACGCACACACAGACTTATGATGTAGTTACAGCGGTGTAACTGCTGATTGCAATGCCCACACCTCACCCTCAAGCATGTGGGAGAAACTGCGGTGGCCACTATGACACTATCTAGAACCAGTGTTATTAAATTCCATTTCTACCAACATGCTCCACACTGGACCTTTGAAACCAGAGTAAACAGCTAAAAGCACACAGACATATCAGCTAAAGCCTGCTGGTGAGATAGCAACAGCTAGCCACGGCTCTTCAGGAAGACCATTAAATCTGCCAAATTCTGCTTCACATAAGGCTCCACGTTGTAGCTGTAGATGAACACTCTATGTATGTGAGGCACTGTAAGTATGTGGCAACAAATATCAGGCTCTCAAACACCTCTCCGTGTGGTTCAAGAGGGCTTTGGCGTGGCTGTGTGAGGAGATCCTCAGCCCATGTTTTGACAAATGAAGAGCTAGCTACATAATACAGCTCGAAGCAAGGTGAGTGATGAGTCTATAATACACAACATAGTCCAGCGTGTCCTTGTTGTGTTGCCATCTCCTCTCTAATGAGACCTCGGCTCAAGAATCACTGTAAATCTATGGTGCCGCGTTGCTCGGTCCAGCCTGACCTCGCTACACTCTCGGCTGAATTAAGGAAATCTTTTACCTTCATGGCTGTGGCTACGGATAAAGAATACACACTAATTATGGAAACATCTACAAACTAGGGCAAGTCTGCATGACCTTGGACTAATGAATATATATGAAAAGAATATGGCTGCTGCAGCTCGTACTGTTTGATGAGTAAGTATCAAAACACTGATCCATTTGACATTTGAAAGCATGACCCCTGACTGCAGCTAAGGGAAATACTTTGCTTTACACAACAATCTACCATCAAACGCATTGCCAGAAAGAGCAATTTAAATGCCAAACATGCTATTGTACAGTACTTTGCTCTCTTTACTTTCTATACAGATTTAGCTAAATTACAGAGAGCAGAGATGCTGAATTATATACATGGGCAGGCATTAATTCATAAATTGGCCTGCATTGCTGTCAAAATCACAACTGCACCGAAACAAAATCCAACACATGCACATCGACACTTGAAAAAACAAAACTGAGGTTGTGTGATGTCACCTTGCCACCCTGGTCAATTAAACACCTCCCACTACGGGTTGGCATCACTCAAAAGGCTCATTAACCCTTCTGACCAACCACCAGTCACAATCAGAAAAACATGCCGTCACATTGGCCAATCCCTACATGGGCAACGCAGGTCAACACCCACACAAGTGACAGGAAATTGAATTGCTAGAGAGAATGTGGTCTGTCTGAGCACTTGAAAGACATTTGTTTATTCACAGCTGGTCACACGGCCAGACAGACTTTATGGGCTTAAAAATAAGAAGCAAAGGTGATGCCTAATGTAATTTTATTTTATTATTTATTATGTATTTAGTTTTTTTGTATATCGTTGATGAATGCGAGTGATATGAGGTAAATGTTCTCACGGGCACAGGAATGTGGTTGCATAAAACATTTCTGAAACTCCGCACCAATGAGCTGAATCAGAAAATTCTGAATTTCCACCCATTGAAAGGGTTTACTAAAATATATATCCCAGATACATCACATTGGATATTTGAATCAATATGGCATTTACTTAGTGTACAACGACGCCTTATAAAATGAAACGGGAGCAGTGATACATCGCTGAAGCGTCTTTGTGTGCTTGTTTTTCAGACCACTAGTCTTAATCTACTGGGTTGATCTCCCGGTTCCCGCGGGATTATAAAATGTCTGCAAACCTCCAAATATTTGAGGCAATCAACAACTCAACACGCATTTGGCGTTAGAATGCAAGACTGTGAAAACACACAAACGAATGGATAAAAAGGAGTGAAAAATGAAGAGAAATAAGGGGATCGGAGCTGTGCCCATTTCGGGGGTGTAAAATATGGAGAAGTGTGGATCATTGGGGGAGCTGCTCTGCCTGGGGGAACAGATGAAGGGAGGACACTCTGCCAAGATCTCTCCACTGGAGGGGGAGCTGAGGGACTGGAGCTCTATGGGAGAAAGAGTGTGCGCCTCGCATGCTGCTCTCCTCAATCTCAGTCTCACACGCCTGCATTGACACGTCCCAGGCTCTCTGCAGCAGAGGGAAATTGCTGCTGACAGGGCCTTGCAAACTTTCACAGCCATTTAGAAAGACTTACTCCCACACTTTTGTCACAGGCATTTATTGCACAAGATACATGATATGAAAAATTAACATTTTTTGAACTTGGCATCCTTTTTTCACTAAGTTAGGCTTAAAAACCATTCATAATTTTTCAGCCTTGCGATCGGCCCCAGTACAGATGTAAACACAAGACATGCCAAGTGAGACCCTGAGATTATGAAAATGCACAATTTTCAAGAAAAATAAATCCAAACACTACTTCATAAATTTGTACCGTTCGAGTTACCTAATCCAATAACAAATGCTGCCTGTGTCGCCATCACCAAAACACGAGGCTGTTTTTAAGTGAGAGCAAAGGTTACTGCAGACTTACTGTACTATACCTGTATGTTCACCACCAGCCAGTGCCTCCAGTAAGCAGATGTTGGTTTGGTATTGCTCGGAGCATCAGGATCAGCCATCACCAGAACGTACAGCTTTCTCTGCAAACAGAAGAAGATTCATATATTTTATTACTTTTAATACAAGTGCTATACTACAGTACCACACACACTGTGACTGGCCCCGAGGCAGCTCCAGTAACAGCGGTACCTGATCCCTTTTGCTTTCTAAATGCAGCCATGAGCTGTTTGTGCGTCAACATTGCCGAAGGCTTAACAGCCATCTCCACAGCTAGCAATACTTAAGTTTAAATACTCCAAAACAGGTGCTTCACTTTGCTTTCTTTGCTTTAACTTTGTACCAACAAATACTATAAAGTGTGATATTTTATATATTCATAAAATGTGTAGTTTGTTTTTTATGTAGTCAATTGATTTGTCGATTGTAAAGTAGAAAAAAAGCTGACAAACCCAGTTCATACCAGCAGGCTGGGTTTGCCTTTTGTTGGCTTGACACATAATCTCAACACAGTCTTACTTCAGCTGTCAAGACTAAAATGTTGCTTAGAAAAAGAAAATCATGAGACAATATTGATACAATAAACATGAAATAAAACTGTTACAAAAAGGCAACACTACACATGAGAATATGTTCTGCAGCATTGCTGATCAACTGCACACACAGATAAAGTACAGCTCTGTCTCTTCTCTGTTATTTCTTAAAGTTAATATCATTACTGACATCAATAAAATGACAACATTTTGGATCAGATACCAAATCCTCTCGTTAACATATTCACAGTAACTTTCTGCCACTTACCCAGTATCTTTGTACCCCTCAATCTGTCAATAGATAAAGTGAGAGAAAAAGCATCTTAACTAACACTTGATCACAGTTATTGGACGTTGACTTGGCGGCTTGACTGCCGGAAATTTTTCATTCTGTCTGTCCCTAAAAGTTAGAGAATTATGAGAGCAGATTGAATTATTGCGAGAGCACATTTGTCATCCCTGGTCGTGTGCCCAAAATCTGCCAGACCATATGATGGGCTTTTTTATTTTGTTCACTTCCTCTACAAACAGAGACATTAATCGGGGCTGTTTCAATCCATGATGTCCTCTTACTGTATATGTACTTTCAACTGAAGAAAGACCATAATTATATCAGCTTTAATACATATAAAACAGATTTTTTACATCCTTACACTGGCTGCCAAACAATGCGGTCTGTGGCGCAGTGAAACATTTCATAGAATCAAATGCTTGCACGTAAACATAAACCTTAAATTTCTGTTTGTTGTGTCCTATCAAGACATTCTTAAAGGCCTCCGAAAATTATCGTAAGCCGATGTACTTGAATGAGATAAAGAAGTAGTCATGTATTTTTCTGCAGATGCTCATTTTCAGAAGGATTCTCTGCCTACCTGACAAGCAGTAATAAGCGTAAACAACTAAGCCTAATAATAGGATAATACTGTAGTCTCAGTGATAGTGCCTGCAGGTAACATCCAGACACACCAGCTACAATAGAGCCTCCTCCACAGCCTGTCAAAAGTGACTCTATATCAGTGACCCCCCCGGGCAGCTTACCAACCATGACCTGTTGCCTTCTGAAGAGTTGTAATCCTCATTTGTACATGTTTGCTACCAGGCAAAGACACTGTGATAATGTAGTTACACTAATATTTAAGTCAGGCCCTGATGCATTCATAAATAACATGGTGGCAAAAAACAGCACACACACACACACACACACAGACACACACACAGACACAGACTAAAGGAGTTTAAATTAAAAATGACCTCCAGTCACAATTATCATTGAAAGGAATAGCACTTTATTGGATATTTCACGAAAGTTACCATGGATGGAGATATACTGTATAGGACAGGCTTAGTTTTCCCAAAGCCAAATTTAGAACAACATTAAGAACATTTCACATGCATTTCCAACTGTAACAACAAAAAAACATGGCCTATTTATGGTGGGCACTGAATTTGAATGATTTTTGCACATATTTAGAGCTTGAATTTCTACCTGTAAGAATCTGGCTCGTCCAGCTGGCACGGGCAGCAAATAATACAAGTGCATCTCTCCATGCTTGCACTTCACACATTGTGGCATGTACCCTTCTCTCTTACAAGGACATTTTTTTCTCCATCTGTCAAAATCCACATTAATTACGCACAGATATGTGTGAAAGACTCCAGGGAAAAACAGATGCATGCTCTGCCATCTGAAATAATTTATCAGGGCTCCAACAAACTAAATGTATATCAAAACATGTTTTAACAGGGCTAATTCTCATAGCTGGATACTGGAAGGCACGCATTTTCCAAAAATATGTTATTGGTATTAATCACTAATACTAAAGAGGAAACTTAACATTTGAGCCTCGTGGAACATTTTAAATTTAGATTTGCTTTTACACTGTAGCTAATCACATGTATCAATGATGACAGTACATTTTCTATATTTTGGAGGACACACTAAGCTGTTAGTAAATAAAAAATCTTATATATACTTTATTTAGATTATTCTTAAAGAGATGAAAGGTCATCTGCCACCCTGCCATGCTCTGTAATGTACCTATAGGACTGTAAAATGTCATAAAAATCCAAGAGCTCAGAGCAGAAGTGAAATCTGGGTAGGTGTCAGCCACAGACCACAGAGCTCCATCGGGCCATTATACAGGAGGGGATGTGAGGCTCCTGGGTGCAGGCTGGAGGTGGGGGAGATTGAGCTTGCATTCTCTTGGGATTAACCTCCCACTGCCTGCTGTGATCACAGCAAAACGGCCCACTGAGACCACACCTCAGACGCAAGTCGGCTGGAATAAACCCTGCAGCCAACTTGGGTCTCTGTCACGGCTGCTGGTCAGTGGTAGAGAATAAAGGGGAGGCGCTCTGTTCAGTGACACTTACGGAGACTGGGGGGGGGGTCATTTACATGGACTCAATACCTCTTCATGATCATAGAAATGCAGATGTAGTTTTTTTTAAATACATTTTTATATTGTTGTATCTTCAAGAGATGACATGAAACTCCCACTCCATGCCAATAGCATCGAATAGATACAGCAAAACAGAAGACGGTGAAGAACAAAGGCAGAGGAAGACCGGTGTCTCTGAGGATGTAAACTACTGGCTTACCTTTGAGTGAACTCTGCTGGGGATGAGAATCAGAGAGATGTCTAATCGCTGCTCTCGTAGAGCTGCCTGGGCTATCGAGCCCAGCTCTGCTAACTGATGACACCACGAAGGGCGAGAGTGAGTTAGCGAGAGGGAGGGAGGGAGGAGAGGCCCCTCTGTGAGTTTACAAGTTCATGCTTTATCCCTGACCCAATACCCAAACAGTGTCGTCCATGCAGCTGCCTATTAATATACCCATTGCTTTATCCTCCCGGTTCTTCATCTCCTTCAGACTCTGTGCACAGAACCCACAATGATTCATTAAATGGTCAACTGTGCTCACTGCTCGACCTGGGGCAAAGCAACGCATCGATATCAAATCCCTGTTTAAGTAGCAAAAACACTTGAACTCGTTTGGTAATTAACAGGTATCTGTGTTGTGATTAAGAGACGGCAATGGCTTAACAACCATCGACTGCGGCTTAGAGCAAGGTTGAAAGATCGATCTGTAAATACAGAAAAATAAAACCTCTAAAATACTGCTGTAGAAGTACATTTTTCAGATGATAAAGAAAATTAATCTCAGCAGCTCCTTCATTGTGTTTGCAGCCAAGCAGTATTATATTATATATAGTATAATATTTTAAATTAATGATGCATGGACTTTTATTCTAAGGACATAATAATAAGGTCTCATTTCGGAGGCAGGATAGTAGTGAGAAGGAGAAGAAGAGCGAGTGATGGGGAAGGTTAACAGTGGTTTTACTGTCGGGGTCAGAGGAGGAGGTTCATCCTGGTGGAGGGGAGGTCAAGGGTCGGCCAGGCAGCAGTAATTGAATCCTGACCAGAGAGTGGGGTGCTGTAGACCCAAAGATGAGATGGAGATAGAAGGGGGGCTGTGGCACTCACCTAGAGGTCACCAACCTTACAGGTGAGAAGGTCCTCGTTGTCATTAATAACAGCCGCCCTCCCCACCTCTCATCTGCAGAAGCTTTGAAACCTCATTGTTCCTCACTGCAAGCAGCATTATAAAACCTCCTTCATAGGCAGTCATAAAGGGCAGATCAGTAATCTGCCACAGAGGAATTTGGAGAGGAAATAACAGCGAATTTCAGGGAATCTTTTCAGTACAGTATTTTCTGGTTGTAGTGACAAAAAGATCCCATGCATGACGCAAAGAAAGCAGGCTCGGAAAAACATTGCTCTATAGCACTACTAATGGTCATAAAGTCCAGAAGGTACCTTTAAGGTTATGCTTAGCACTTGGTTGAGTTTAGGTTCACCTTAAATTCAAGGTTTTGGCTAAATATTGACAAAAAAATCATCAGTGACTTGTCTATTTCCTTAACATTTAACTGAGACTTCCCCAAACCTCAACCAAAGGGCTTTTGTCACCTAAACCTAACCACACAAGGTACTCAGGATACTAACCACAGCCTCAAGTGTCACAGTCCAGTGTCACTTTGTATGCCCATCACACCAACAACCTCCTTGAGACTTGTGTGCAGTACAAAAACATGGAATTTCCTTCACGTCAAAAATGTTGACACTGAATATAACACAGACAGCGGTTACTTTTCCCGCAAAACGCATTCGGTGGGGCATCCTGATAGCTTACCTGGTAGAGTTAGCACCCCATGTACCAAGGCTAAATCCTTGCTTTGATTTAGACTTTTTTATTTATTTATCAGTCTCTCACAAGTCCCTCAATTAAGAAAATCACTAGAAAGCCCCTTAAGATGAATTAAGAATTATTTAAAGAAATATAATAATATATTATAGATACACACTTTACATTCACACATGCAAATAGGGTCAAAAAGGTGGTGTTTTGTAATTAAAGCCACTTGATGTCTTACAGCTTGGACACACTGCTCGCGTCTGCAGCACGTCTCGTGGCACAGTTGCAGCGACACTTCAGTAGAGTTGAGGTCTCACCCAGTGTCCTGCACCGGGTTGGGTAACCCACA